AGTAAATATGTTTGCTTCATGTTGGCATGATTTATAATATTTTAAGAGCTATTTCACATAAATATACAAAATGCCTCCTTATATTAGTACCTGATATACAGGGTTTCTTGTAAGTGATTTAGTTTTTTATTCTGACTTTCCAGTGTAACGATTCAGTAATAAAACATTTAACTGGTTTATAGACAATCCTTGGATAACAGATGATAAGGTGGCTTCGGTGGTGCAGTGGTTAACATGCACGACCCATGTACAGAGGCTTCGACCTGGATTCGGATCAGATCTGTGTTCTTGGACGCATGTCACTTCCCGTCTTTCATACCACCTTTCCTGTCAGCCTACTGTCAAATAAACGAGCCACTAGTGCCCAGAAAAAAATGTATACTGTAATATTAAATATCTAATCATTTACTTTTTAGACAAAGGTCATACACTATGTCTACCATGTTCTATATTTCCCTCCTCTCCATATTATTCACAGTAATGTGTTTCATACAGCTGCAGTTCACTGTCCTGCCCCTCTCTTCCAGGTCTGTGCCTCAGTCTTATGCAACACATGACACCATCTTTATATCATCAGCTTACTGTGAGGAGGGTAAAGGCGATGGTAGCTTGGAGCAGATATCAGGAGGATACAACACGGTTTTAAGTTGTGCAAGTCAGCAGGTTGGATAAGCCGTGTAAAATGCTGTAACACCATCCTCCTTGGTTTTGACTGCATCACAGGAAAGTATTTTGCAATAAAGGAAAATTAGATGTTTTGCTTTTTTATGTTTTGTTTTGCTTTATTAGTGTAGAGAATAGCAACTTTTTTTCTGTTAGCATGCACAGAAAGCCTTGATTGGATAAAGATGTGTTATAATTAAAAAAACAATGGCGATCTGAATACACCCTTTACATGGGCTCCAAATCAAATAATCCCATCATAAATTTCATTTACTGGCATCAGGCTTTATTCAGGGAAGAAGCAAGGTGTTAATATTTCCTTAAAATAACCACAGAAGTGTTGTACTTCTGTCCTATTGTTCTGCCTGCTTATAAAACAAAAAAAAAAAAGAAGGAGAAAAAAAAAACACAACAGATATAAGGGAGTGTTGGTCCAGACTGCCTGAGTTAAGAATGAATATTATTCCCTCAAAATTCTGTGCTGCCCAAGGCTGCTGCTGCTTACACCACACACAGAGTAAGGGTCAGTTTCTCTGAATCAAATTAAATGATCCTAATGACTGGTAAAAGTGGCACTGTTTAGATTAAGCCTAAACCACTCCTTTTATTCTGAATACAGTTTAATTTAGATTTAGTTTAATTCAACTTCTAAATGAGCATATTTTTCTGATACCTTTTTTATTCCAAATAATTGTGTCCCTGTTAACATTCCTGTTTCTGTAACACAACAGCAGGAGTTAAGTGAGGAAACAAAAAATAAGTACAAATGATAAACAGTTTCTGCTTAGTTTTAGGAAATCTGTGCTGCTTTAACTGAATTAGAGACAGAGCTGTCCGTGGTGCTGAAAATCCCTTCCACTACTTAAGGAGTTTTATTTGAGGCAAGCAGTATATTAAAGTAATGATTTGGTCGGGGAAACATTTTTTTTAGATATAATTTGATTCATTTTAGGACAGAGAGGCAAATATATCATGCTATTAAACAAAACACTGTTTTATTTATGTAAAGCTGAGTTAACGCATTTGCATGATTACAGGTTTTAATTTTCCTAACTCAATTCCAATTTCATTTTTTTTTTCAGATTTTTTTTCAAACTTTAGGATAAAGAACAGCTTTTTAAGCTAAACAAACTGACTTCCAACTCAAGGCCCTAATTGTTGCACAGGTGCACCTGTAGGCCTTCGCCACAAGAGACCTGCTTTGGCTGAGATAATTGGACCCCTGTGAGTTTAAAATACTATCTGGGTGACAACCTTGAATGGAAGACAGTTGTTTTACTTATCTCGAAAATAATAGAAAACTGTGCTATTTGCATTCTAACATGTACTATTAGTTTGATGGAAATATATATACACAGTGTATATATATATATATATATATATATATATATATATATATATATATATATATATATATATATATAGCTGCATATATTATATTGGTATATGTTATATATATGCATATAATTTAAATATATATTAGAAAACTAAGGATAGTGACGATGTCAAATTTATGCCAATTAAATATTTTCCTCTCTCAGAGGTCAGAGATTATCTTATAACTTCCTTAAATGTTATTCCATCTACAAGGGCAACTTTATATACATTATAGCTAAACTTACAAAACAAGGGTAGAACTATTTAAAAATTGCAGCAGGGTGTTTATTCAACTGAGGGTCCTTACAAAATATAAATCCCACATTTACCATAGAGAACTAGATTGCACCATGTACATTTATCTTGAAATGCTCTGAATTTCCATATCAATTCCTTTTTTGGACCATATTTTTTCTCACACACTGTTTAAAGTTGATCACTGCTGCACTTTATGGAATGGAAATGTTCATTTTTCTGCTAAGCTGCTGCTCATGCACTGTGTGAAAGCTTTACAAAACAATTTTTTTTTTTGTATATACAGGATTTATACAAAATGACAATTAAACTTGTCTAAGTGATCTATTAAACCACTGAGAAATGGTTTGATGCAGCTGACCTGGGAAGCAAAGATCAAAATGTGATGACAGACATCAAACTAGACAGCCAAAGCTCAAGAGACATCAGAAGGCCACTGGTAACACAGTGAAGGTCAAACAAAGCAAAAGATAACAGAAACAGATTCTGCTTGATGAACAGCAGTATCCACATCAATCTCTGACATAAAGTGACTCTTTAAATTGAACTTAATTAAACTAATTTCAACCAATTTTAATGGATCAGTTTCTTAAATGACAGCTGGAGGTAAAACCAACTGATCTTAAAACACAAATCTTTAACAGAATATCACTAAACTGTGTCGATTTATCCACTTCCACTTTTTCCAGTGTTGCATATCTGTTTAAAAAGGGTCAGTGGATACACAATGACTTTGCTATAAAAGAATTAAGTATTTAACAAAGCATTACATCAAATTATCTTAGTGACAGATAGAAGGAAAACAGCCTTTGAACTCTGTTGTTTGATGTCTCTACAATATGGACATAAAGAGTTCTGTTGATGTAACCAAATAAAGGCACAAAACATTTGGGTTTGGAGATGAATAGGTAGAGCAGGATTCTTGTAGCTGAATTTAGAGCAATTTAAAAAACAACTGTTGCTGTTTTACACTGATAAAAAAACGCTGGTCCAGCAAACAAATACCATCTTTTTGTAAGAGCTTTTTAGCTCGCTTGATAACCCCAGTCTCTGTGGTAAAGATACGTTATCTGCTGGAAGCTGTTACTATGACAACAGCCCTGTGAATGCAGCGTAGCATTTTCCAAAATGAGGGTGAAGAGAGCTTGAACCGCTTGAGGAAACAAAGTGTTATTAAATCAGTCTAAAAAGTGCAATAAAAAGTATTCATGTTGTTAATGCAAATTAAGATGGGGATAGATATCTAAACTGCAACTACATTAATCACAAAACACTCACACAACGTCTGATAAATTAGGAAAATGTGATCAGATGTTTAAGAAAATTTAAAAAAAAATACTCAATACAACGATAAGAAAAAAAAATGATTTTCAGAAATTGCCAAAAACCAAACCAAGAGTATTTATTCAGAACAAATTCAAAACTTTAGACACATTAAGCCATAAACCATCAAAATGTTCACATCTTCCCTTCTTTGCTCACTAAAATATCAGACATGGGCTCTAAAATGGATGGCTCTGAGGAACTGGACAAAAAGATTATGAACAGCATGAAGGTGGGGATGATCTAATGGGTTACCAAATTTTACATTCAAACAGTCATTTTAAACTAAGATATGGATTTGATCCAGTTTAATTCAATTCAGCGACCTTTTTTTCCTTTTCTGAAGTTTATTTCATGTGGTGGCTATGATTTCCTGATTATAAAAGACATGTAAACAGAAAACACAACCTGCTCTCAGTAAGGATGGAGATCAGCTATGAATCAGCTACCTGAACTATGGTGGAAACTTGTATAGAATTACCTCTGGATCTATAGATCAGCTCGACATATCTATGAACCCAGAGGAATCAGTGAATATGATGCATTTCCAATATGACCTCAGTTTTTTCACTTAGACAAATAATGGTGAATGCTGAATCATCCACTAAACATCCCCCCCCCCCAAAAAAAACAAGCATTTCTCTTTAAAAACAAGGCTTTTTTGCACCCATACAGCTTTGTGTGTAGTAAGCTTTACACACAACATTATAGATACTGGTAGACAGATGGTTTGAGCTGAGCTAAAAGGGCTCAAAGCTCAGGTGGACTCAGTTTCCCCACACTGCAAGGTCACTGTCCACTGCAGCAAAGAAGATCAGATTTGCAACACTTTGCTTTATTTCATGTCTTTCAGTAAAAATAACATCTCTGACAGACAGAAAAACAACCAGAACAAGGTCTGGCAGCATTATTTCTGCAGATGGTTCCGAATTAAATAGGCTGGAGGGGAAACCAAAATGAAGGCTTGTCATGAAAGCAACATAACCAGGCAGAAACTGTGCGCGCGGCACAGAAAATGACCTAAAATGACTTTGATTCCCTAAGAATCTTCTATATGGAGGCAATAGATTATGGGTCTATGCCATTTTTACGATAGTTATCTAACGGGGAATTCTGGTCCTTGAATGCATCATGCGAGAGTAAACAGATAAACTTCACCGGGGATTTATGTAGGCCCCACTAAATAATCGGCTTGCCGGAGCGTTTGTCGGTGACAGAAAGTGCGAATAAACAGAAATAACCCGGATAATCGTGCGCCACTTTGGAGCGCTCGGTTCTTAATGTGTCCTTTGGAAAGACTTTGAACCTGCTTTATAATAACATAGATGCAAAGCGGGCCGAATGCACCTCCATCCCCCGCACCATCAGATAAAGCTACTTACTTCCCGACGAAGTTCTCCAGAACCGAGCTCTTCCCGGCGCTCTGGCCGCCGACAACCGCGATCTGCGGCAGATCCAGGTTCGCGTTCTGGCCGATGGCAGAGAAGGCATCCTGCATGCGGTTTACCAGAGGAATCAGATCCTCCATCCCTCTGTTCCCCATCTTTGCGGTGCTAGAGGAGGGTCTAACCTCTTTGTCAGCGCAGGGACCCTGCTGTTCAGAATGAGCTTTATGATTTTATTTTGATTCTGTCACGCTTTACTTCTCTGTTTGCTCCCTCATCTGCAGGCCTGCATCGGTGTCAGATAACCAAAGAGACAGGACTCTGTCCACAACAATCCTCAACAATCACCGCAGGGGGCGGAGGAGGAGGAGGATCTCTATCCATCCCTGAGGCAGGGGCGGAGCTAGATGGGGGGCCGAGGGGGGCATGGCCACCCTTAGTCAATCACAGGCCACCCTTACCATTTATTTCTCTCTAATACAGATGGCAGCAGTAATAATCTCAAGTGGAATATTCAAAATATTTAAATTTTTCATGTATTAACAATTACTTGACAACAAAGACACAGTGGTTAATTATGCACCTCAATATATTAACATTAAAAAGGATAAGTACAGAATTCAAGCAGAAATAGATTTTGTGTTTTATGGGGTAAAGAGAAAATCATGTGTCTCTACAAGTCATCTGAGTCTTCAGTGAAACAGATAAATAACTATTTTAATAAAAACGATATTTTAGTACTTGTAAATATCAATTTTATGCAGAATGATTATTGATAGAAGTAGGTAAGTAATGACAATGGAAATGATGTTCGCCCCAAACTCAAACCTGAAAGAATTTTATCAACTATACCTTTTATCCAGAAAGCACGGATGTTTGAATATATTCATCTATTTGTTAGCAAAGGCTGTGGGAAAGTGTAGTTTGTCTTTATTTTGAAAATATGGATGTTTTGCTCGTTAATTTTCCTGTTGGAACAGGGTAGATTGACAGTGAGGTTTTGGTGCCTATCTATTTTCAGCCACCCCTCAGTGTACATTGGTTATGGCCTGGCCACCCTTATAAAAAAAATTCTGGCTATCCCTCTGCCCTGGAGTACATTCAATTGACCACTTGGTGGCGTATTTTCATTTTCTTTCTGAAATGGTTTGATTAAAATACCATAATATGCACTTGAAATAAGACAATGCAAAACGTCTCTTTTATCTCCTCAATTCAAGAACAAATATACTTGTTTTAAGAAAAAATGACTAGATTTTGATTTTTTTCCAGTGTAAAAAGTTAATAAGCCTAGTTAACAATTATATTTAGGTTTATAAACTAAAAAATGTTACTACCAGTATCAGCATTAATGCCTCTGAGGTTATGTTGGACCAAATAAAACATGTGTTTCTTTCACTCTCAGGGTGTTTTTAATGAATTTCTTATAGAAGCAATTTTGTTATTTTTCTTAATTTCGCAAATTGCCGTTTGTTGTTACAAATTTTGCCATCAAATATTTTGTCGCATCTCCCCCGAATGATGGTCAGCACTTGACTGATGGTTTTATTGTTTATTAGTGTATCATCGTTGTCCACAATAATCCTTTTAACCGACCAACGTAAGAGCTAGGCAAAGCACAGAAGAAAAAATGTATTACGGTACTGGCCGTTACTATGTAAAATCCGCCCGTTATACATAAGCTACAGAGACTTAATAACGAACAAAAAAAAAGTTCTTCACAAGCATTTCTAAATACATGAACACATATTAAACATGTCTTATCAAATAAGGACTAACCTTGTGCCACTTCGGAGGGTGCGAGTCCTTAAAATAAGAAGTAATATTTTAACGTTCTTTCCTTCTTTTTCTACGTTTCAATTTCAGACTCTTCTTCTACGTATCTCGCTGTAGCCACTAACTAAAAACGTCACGTACTTTCAAAATAAAGTCTCTTAAAACAAGGTAATATGTAAAGCATTGTATATTCACAAAATTAATGGAAGCAAAAATAAATAAATAAATAAATAATAACTTCACGTTGTAATATGTCTTGTAACTAAATTCGAAATCGGGTCATTTACACTCCCACCAAAATTATAATTATTTCATTACTTAAATGAACTACAAATAATTTTCACATTTGAAATGATCTTAACAGTAACTTCTGCTCATTTTCAGCTTAAACATAACATCAGCTTAAGGAGCTTCTAACAACAGTACCAACTTCTGTACTGGACGTTCCAGTGTGGAGGGCTTACCTAAGCGCTCACCCTTTTTGTTCAGTCTCTTATCTCCAACAGAGATTTTCACCTTTCTTACAAGTCCATCTTTACCTTTCACAGCTTCAGTGATCCTTGCAAGCCTTCACTCACCTCTAGGTGATAGTTCATCAATGTCCATCACAACATCACCTTCTTTCAGATTTCTTTTCGGTGCATGCCATTTCTGTCTTGTCATAATGCTGTGAAGATATTCTTATTTCCAGCGGCTCCAGAAATGTTCCGCTAGATACTGCACGCGTCTCCATCTTTTTGTGCCGTACAGGTCCTCTTTTGGGAACATGCCTGGTGGAGGCAGTGCTGGGCTGGTCTTCATTTGTATGAGGTGATTGGGAGTCAAAGGCTCTGGACTGTCTGGACTGAGTAGATTTTCAACGGTGAGGGGTCTACTGTTAACTATAGCCATGACTTCATACAGCAGAGTTCGAAGTGTAGAGTCGTTGAGTCTGTTGCAGGAAAGTGCCAGTGTAGAGTTGAGGACACTTCTGACTGTTTTGATCTGGCGCTCCCATACTCCACCTGCGTGACTAGAATGGGGCGCATTCATTACAAAGTCACATTGCCTTTGTGATAGAAACGTGTTTAATCTGTTGGTGTCAAGCTCTTGGGGGGCTGCTTTGAACTCATTCTTGGCTCCAACAAAATTGGTGCCCTGATCACACTGGATCTGACGGACAGCACCTCTGATTGCGACAAAGCATCGTAATCCATTAATGAAAGCATCGGTGGACATGTCTTCCAGCATTTCTAAATGGATAGCTCGTGAACAAAAGCAGGTGAGGAGAAGCCCATACCGTTTTTGCTGCTTTCTTCCTTCTGTCGTGACGAAGGGACCAAAACAGTCCATGCCACAATAAGTGAAAGGAGGGGAAGGCTCCATACGTTCCTCCGGCAGATCACTCATTCGCTGGCTTTCTGCTGGTCTCCTAAGTCTGCGACATATGACACACTGACGAATAAATGAAGACACTGCTCTGCTCATACCTGGAATCCAATATCCACTGGATCTGATTGCATTTGCAGTGAAGCCTTTGCCTTGATGCTTGGTTATTTCATGGCTGTGTGCTATTATTAGTTTAGTAACATGGTGGTCTTTAGGAATGACAATGGGATGTTTAAATGAATCTGAGAGAGATGAGAGCCGAAGTCTTCCTCCCACCTTCACAATGCCGTCTGTGTCAATAAAGACATCCAGGTTATGTAGTTTGTTGCCTTTTGTCAACTGTTTTCCTTTCTTTAATTGTTCAATTTCATTTTCATATGCTTGTCTCTGCAGGTCTCTAATTATGACACATTCTGAGCCTTTTTGTTCACTCACTGTAGAGGGCGCATTTGACTTTATCTGCTTAGCCCTCCTAATCAGACGGGCCACTGCTTTGATGCCCCGGGACCATGATGAAAACTTTGACAGACGATCTGCAATGCTTACTGGTTCTGATGTCAGTAACGCAGATGTCTGCAGTGTTTGAGTCTTTCGGATCTCTGGATCTCCTATCTCCAAATCTGGTGTCACATCTTCTGGTGTAGGTATGTTACTTTCCCACAAGAACCTGGGATCGGAAAACCATTCTGATTTGATCAGTTCATTCACCGTTCTTCCTCGTAAAGCTCCATCAGCTGGATTCCTATCTGTTGGCACGTAATGCCACTGCTGGGGGCTAGTGCTATTGCGGATCCTCTGGACCCTGTTGGCGACGAACGTATGAAAACGCCTTGAGTCGTTGTTAATGTAGCTTAACACTACTTTGGAGTCAGTCCAGAAGTACTCCTTTGTATTAGCACAGCTAAGCTGTTCTCTGAGCAAGTTGCTGACAGTAACTGAGACTACGGCTGCTGTTAATTCAAGCCTTGGTATTGTTGTTAACTTTGTTGGAGAAACTCTAGCTTTCCCCATCACCAGAGAGCAGTGAATCTCTCCTTTGCTATTTTTAACTCTTAAATAAGAGCATTGTCCATATCCGTTTGTGCTTGCATCAGAAAAGTGATGCAATTCCTTTTCTATGACGTCTCCGAAATCAACAGGTATGTAACATCGAGCTATATGGATCTTTTCTAGGTTTGCAAAGTCATGTTGCCAACTCTCCCACCGTGGCTTCAGTGCTTCAGGTAGGGGTTCGTCCCAGCTGACACCTTGTTGGCACATTTCCTGCAAAATCTTCTTTCCAGTAAGGACGTACGGCGACAGGAACCCTAAAGGGTCGTATATGGAGGCGACTGTAGCCAATATGCCTCTACGTGTCCCTGGCTGGTTTGCCAGAGTGTTGCTGAATCTAAAACTATCATCTTCAATGCTCCAGTGAATCCCAAGAGCTCGCTCTAGCTGGGTGTCTGAGAAAGTCAATTTTTTTGTCCTTGTTTCCATGGCCCGTTCTGACGAGGGTATACTCTGTAGAACAGCTTCACTATTTGATATGAATTTATGGAGACAGAGCCCCCCTTTGCCACATATCTCTTTTGCCTCTTGCGCCAATCGAATGGCCTTTTCAACCGTGTCTGCACTTGTCACGCCATCGTCTACATAAAAGTCCCTTGCTACAAACTGTGACCCAACTGGGTGTGAGTGTCTGTTCTCATTAGCAAGGTTCTTCAACCCATAATTTGCGCAACCAGGGGATGACACTGCGCCAAATAGATGGACCTTCATTCGGTAGTCTTGAGGCTCTGTGCTGGCATCTCCGTCTTTCCACCACAGGAACCGCAGGTAGTCACGATCCTGTTCAGGCACATGGAATTGATGAAAAATTTTTTCTATGTCACACATAAGTGCAATTGGATGCTGTCTGAACCGTAGGAGCACACCAGTGAGGTTATTGATCATATCGGGCCCTGGGAGAAGATGTTCGTTGAGGCTTGTGCCACAATACTTCGCAGAGCAGTCGAATACAACGCGAAGCTTGCCAGGCTTTTTTGGGTGGTATATGCCATGATGGGGGATGTACCATCGCTCCCCTGGGATTCCATCAGTTTGCACCTCTTCTACCTCACCTCTTTCTATGCTTTCTTTTATGTACAATGTGTAGTCTCTTTTATATTTCTCATCTCTGTAAAACTTCTTTCGCAGGTGACTAAGTCTGATTTCTGCGAGTTTCCTATTGTCAGGTAAGTGTGGTCGGTGCCTGAAAGGTAATGGCATTTCGTAGTGTCCCTGTTCATTTTGTCTTATGCCTTCTTTCAGTTTTTCCAGGAAACCAAGGTCTTCTTGTGATACTGTTTTGTCATCCCCTTTCATGTCCTTAAAGTCTGACTCTAGTGCACTAATCACATCCATTGGTGTTATTGGAGGAAGTTCCTTTACAGAGACTTTATGACACAGGCTAGTCTCTGCTCCATCTGAGTTTGGCATTGATTTGCCCACAATGCTCCAACCTAAATCCGTACAAACTGCATACGGCTCACTGTCGTTTCCTGTTAATACCTGTCTAGGTGTTAAAGCTCTAGGACAATTGTACCCGATCAGAAGTCCAACGTCACAGGGGAGAAGAGGTGGAACCTTGTCAGCAATGGAACTTAAGTGAGGCCATCGATGTGCAGTTTCATGAGTGGGTATATGATTGCGGTTGCCTGGAATACAGTCTTTTGTGTATGCAGGAGGAAGGTCGATGTGGATGCCTGAATGGTAGCCTCTCACTCTGAGTCCAATTACTCGCTCACATTTCACGATCATGTTCTCTCCTAGCATAGTGGTAAGCTTTAGCTTAACAGGTTGCATACTTGCTTGCAGCTCATTGCTCACCTCATTGTTGATGAATGTGCTGTCGCTTTGAGTGTCCAGCAATGCGTAGACGAGCTTCTCCTTTAAAGGATTGGTGGCCAGAGACACCCAAACAGGAACAATCATGGAGGTGTTGCATGATTGTCCTCCTGCAGTGACATTGAGGGCTTTGGCTTCTGTAGTTTCTGTGGCGTTAGAATCTGTGTTCAACGTAGAATGTTGCTCAGTTCGCCTTTCACATGCCTTGTAGTTGTCATCATGGAGACATGTGGGGTGTCTCCCCTTACATACGTCACAGGTAAGACGGTAACGGCATTCCTTGGCATTGTGACCTGGCTTGAGACAACCGTAACATAACCTTTTTTCCTTCACATATTTCCGTTTATCATTTAAAGACTGTTCAATGAAGTCTGGACATTTATGTAGTTGATGTTTGTCATTTTTGCACCACATGCAGGGGTGTTTTGACTTTACATTGCTAACTGACGAATTATCATTTGTAGCCACTTGTGTGCTGAGAACGTTAGCTTTGTTTCCCTTTAACTCCTTTGCCCCTTTTTTTTTGTTAGATGAGTAGAGAGCATGAAGTGAAGTGACAGGATTACACGCGATCTCTGCTTCCAGAGACAGGAAGTTGGCAAACTCCTTAAAGGAAGGGAACTCTCTACCATCCATGAGGATCTTAGTGACTTGACGGTTCCAACGAGCCGACAGCCAATCTGGTATTTTAAGCATCAGCTTTTGATTCTCTTCACCGTCGTTTAATATTTCTAGGCTTCTCACGTGGGGCATTGCTTGTAAGCATGCGTTCAGAAAATCAGAAAATGTCCTTAGCCCCTCAGCATCTTTAGGTTGAATTTTTGGCCATTTTGACAGCTTGTCTCTAAAAGCTCGTTGGATTAAGAATGGCTGCCCATAACGTTGGTCAAGCTTATTCCAAGCATCTCTGTATGCTTCCTCATCACTTCTGTAAAACGTGCCTTCAAGACATTTTTGAGCTGCGCCGCTGATATATTTTTTTAAGTAATAGAGTTTATCAGCAGAGGAAATATTCTTTCGGTCAATGAGCGACTGGAATGAGGCTCGCCATTCAATGTAGTGGATTGGATCACCACTGAACACTGTAGGTGTTGGAATTGGGAGTCTGTGTGTGGCTATGCTCTCTTGAATTGCTTGAGCCAGATAGGAGGCATCAGTTAGGGGTGCTGGCTTAACTGTGTGAAGGGATTGAGGATCTGCATGTGTGTGGAAAGTAAGCTGTCTGGTGTCTGGCTGTATAGGCTGATACATACTTTCCTGTTCGATTTCTCGATCATAAATCTCAAGTCTGGCACGAGCCACATCTCTGTCTCTTTCTGCTTGTAGGCGTTCTAAGTGAGCCCTCTGTATGTCCAATTCCCTTTTATGCTGCTCTTCCATTAACCTTATTTTTTCCTTTTGCTTTATTTCTTCTTGCATTACTCTGCATTGCGCTTCCTTAGCAGCAAATTCAGCGGCTGCTTCGGCTCTTTTAGCAGCTACGCTTATCAAGTCGGAATGACTAGCTCGTGACTGAGAGGCAGTTCCATATATTGAGTGAGCATAGTCATGGGCTAGTAGCTGGTGGAGACGGCGCCTTTCATTTTCTTCATCAAAATCTCCACTTATTGCTGCTAGACGCTCTAAAACTATTTTTACAATGTCTTTTGTTACAGCCTCACATGCATCAATTTTTCTTCTAAGTTCAGTGCTTGGTGTAACTTTTTCTCTTATTTCTCCATAAAGTTTCATTATTTCATTCATTCCTTTCTCCACATCATCTGCCATAGTGGCCAGTTCAGACTCTGATATGTCTCTCTTTAAATTCTCTCTGGAAGCTCTAATTAGAATTTTCCATTGTTCATACAGGCTGAGCAAACGTTTTTCTTTTTTAGTTAATTCATCCATTTGATATTCCTGCATTCTTTCAGTAGGTTTATGAAGACGTTGTGTACGTCGCGGTGAAAAAAGCTCCTCCTCCTTCTCACTCGTTTCATGTTTAAGTTCGGCTATTCGTTTTTCTTTGCTTTCAATTAACTTCTTTAATTCCTGCCTTGATATGCCTTCGCATTCTCCTTGATGAAGTAAGCCTCTACTTTCTTCTATTTCCGTTTGTAGCTTTTTTATTTCTTCCTTCACATCATCCATTTGCATGTAGTTTCGTCCTTACCGTCTCTCTTGACCGTTACACCTGCTACGACTCACTGCTGCGTGCTCCGTGCTGTCCGTAGATTGCGTAAGCAGCTCTTTGAAGCAGGTGCAGGTGAAGCTCTTACTGTCGCATCTCCCCCGAATGATGGTCAGCACTTGACTGATGGTTTTATTGTTTATTAGTGTATCATCGTTGTCCACAATAATCCTTTTAACCGACCAACGTAAGAGCTAGGCAAAGCACAGAAGAAAAAATGTATTACGGTACTGGCCGTTACTATGTAAAATCCGCCCGTTATACATAAGCTACAGAGACTTAATAACGAACAAAAAAAAAGTTCTTCACAGGCATTTCTAAATACATGAACACATATTAAACATGTCTTATCAAATAAGGACTAACCTTGTGCCACTTCGGAGGGTGCGAGTCCTTAAAATAAGAAGTAATATTTTAACGTTCTTTCCTTCTTTTTCTACGTTTCAATTTCAGACTCTTCTTCTACGTATCTCGCTGTAGCCACTAACTAAAAACGTCACGTACTTTCAAAATAAAGTCTCTTAAAACAAGGTAATATGTAAAGCATTGTATATTCACAAAATTAATGGAAGCAAAAATAAATAAATAAATAATAACTTCACGTTGTAATATGTCTTGTAACTAAATTCGAAATCGGGTCATTTACATATTTATTGAATGACACAAAGGTAATAAGGTCTTGTCCTGGATTTCAATAACACTGTTGGCTTGAAATTTTGATTTTCAAAGGATTTCACTGAGTGCCCTATAAGGGGTTAAAAACATTTCACTGTTTTATATTAACATTATTAGTTTTTATAATTCACTTAACCCTTACTTAATCATAAACATAAGCAAAGGTTTCAAGTTGTAATGGATAAAAATCTTGAAGCCAGAATTTTGAAATGGGAACAACTATTTAAGGCTTTAATAATACCTATGGTTTAAGCAGTAACTTTGAATATTATATTCATTTTTTTTCCCACATTACAAATTAAATTAAAACTATCAGATTGAAACCTAAGTTTGACTTCTAGTCTCGTAATGGTGTTTTCTGAGGAAAAATTCACCTTATAAGACTGATTATGAGAGAATTAGGAGACAAAATCCACACGTTTGGATATTAAAGTTTACATTCAAAGCAACAAATATGTACGTTAGCATTCATTCAGGTATATAATTATGACTTTAAACTTGTTTGATTTTGTGTATATTTTCCTTTCAGTGTCCTATATCTGACAAAGTCAGAGTTTTGAGTTTCAAAATCAAAGCTGCAAAGAAATGTAAAAAAAAAACCCATTTAAAAACTACTCCAACAATCACATTTGGACTGGATTAAAACCTTCTTGTTCATTCACTCGTGGTTTCTGGTAACTTGGAAAAAAAACATGTTGATTTGAAAAACATATTAGGACTACTTAGTTCAAACTAAACTATGTGAATATGGCTATTACTATAACATACAGTGAAATTGCATTTGCATTCACTTTGCACAATATAAACACAGTAAAACCATTCTATTTTAGAATTTAAATATTTAATCTTTTCACTGCATGTAGCTATCATTGTCTTTTTCGTTGGAATATTATCTGAATTAAAATAATTTCATCCTAGGATAAAACAAAATTACTCTTAATAATTCACAATGCCGCAGTTCTCCTTTTTTAGTTTCCAGGACAACCACAAGGGGGCGATATAGTCCAGTACTTTCCTTTATTTTTTCTGTGGGGTTTTGGATTTCAGGGGAGCAGGTTCGCAGCGAGTAGTTAACTCAACAATATGACTTTTGCTAGAAACTAAAACCAGCGTCCTCATTTTGTTCTTTGCATCAGAATCAAAGGAAGCCCGAGGTAAAGTGTACAAAGTTATTTTAAACGGCTATATCATTGAAATAGCCGGCTAGGTGAAAACTATGCTAAGCTAACCTGTTGTTTTCTATGTGAGTGATGGCTAACATAACATTAGCGTCACTCACGTTAGACAGGTGTAATTATATTTAGCTAATAACCTCAACTAACTATCAGTAACCTGCTTCTATGTGATTATACGATACCCTCTCGCTGGAGGTGTTACTTTAAATGCGGATTTTATTTTGTTCTGTTTTTCATTCGGAGCTAAGTTAGCATAAAGTTAACGTTGATGATTTAAGCTAACGTTAGCCAGTAGCTCTGTAATACGAGAGTAGCCTGATGTCTGAGGCTGTGCGCAGGATTATAGTGTTTGTCAAACCGCAGGTCCCTCAAGGACAAATTAAAGCCGTTATTCTTAATATTTTACCATCCGATTCAAGGTTCTTATACTGTAAAGACTTTTGCACGTTTGTCCGACATCGCAGTGCGAACCAGCAGAGGGTATTATCGTTTCTGCAGTGATGTTCAACCCACACATCCATCAGCAGCAGCAACAACAACAGCTTCACCAACACCTGCGACAGCTGCAGCAACTTTTCCAGCAGCAGCCTCCACCCCCTCCTCCAGCGCAGCCGCCTCCCGCTCATCATGTCGGTCATCACCACCAGACTCCTCGGTAAGACCGTTAACTCGACCCCGGGGATTATTTGAGGCCCTTCGGTGTGAAAGATGTTCAAACTTCTGGCGGCGGGGCTTGAATTGAAAACAGGATCCACAGAAACATGCTTTCGAGCTCTTACTTCCAGTCTCTTGGCATGGTGTTCATTATTTTATTGTTTTATTTACATTATGTTCAGTTAAACAACAGGTTTCAATTCATCATGACATAATATGAAAGGGTTATGTTTGTTTTGTCTGTTGTTTACCTAATTGTATTGTATTGTATTTGTTTACAATAAAAGGAAAAAAAATTAAATATCAAGTGAGACTAAAATGAAATTGTGTAGCTTACATGCAACAACACCTTGTGGGAAATACTCCTTTCTTTAAGTAAGTGATTTGTCAGAGCTTCTAGGATGATGGATGAAAATAGATTTTAGGGCAGCCTAAAGCCTCCTTTTCTCTAATTAAGCCATAAATGAATAAAAAAATAAATAACAGTCAGTTCAGATGATTTATGAAATATGTGAATCAGGAAATTGTCTATATACCAAACTGATCGATTGTTGTTCTCTACTTAAAGCTACAGTGTGTAATAATTACAGGGATATACAGTCAGAAATGTAATATATTATACATAACTATGTTTTTTTATCATCATCTATGAGCTCAGCCTCTTAACCTTAATATTTGCGTTGCCTTAGAATTCGTTATTTATAATTACATAGGAGCGGGTCTCACAGCCATGGAGGCAGACATCTTTGCGCTACGGCAGCGCAGAGCCAACAAACTAGCGATTGCGAGATCGCCCATTACGCTCGAAAGTAACTACGGCAAGTAAAAAAAAATCTATACCCTACACAGACTAATGAAATACTATCTGTACAATTATCTATGTAAACAAACCTATCACTTGAGAAGGTAGGTGATGCGGACGTCGTGGAAGACATTTTGTCCCGTAACGCTCGGCGTACTGTTGGGGGGGAGATGTTCATGTTGCTGCGGTCTGCAGTCTGGACGTCAGATGTCGCTGAAAATTACACACTGTAGCTTTAAAAAAACACTTTCGATTTTTAATGTTTTTATTTGAAAAGTCAATATATAACATGGATGCATAAACACCGAATTGTATTTTAGTGATAAATTATGTTTAAAGTAACAGATTAATTAAAAATTTCTCCGGACCTTTACTGGTTGATGATTTTCTTTATTTGGACCCTGCTGATTTTTAATTCGTTACCCATGGGTTAGAGCCTCCAAAGACTAAAGGCTGAAGGGAAACTTCACCTCTCAGCTGTCAGACTTAATTTGCTCAGTTAATTTAGACTTGTTTTTTTATGATGAGTGAAACTGATTTTTTTTTTTTTTATTAGAATGTTCAGGCTTTAAAGAAAGCTTTTATGCTCTGGAGGGGAAAAGGGTATGCATATTGGTGAATATTTACTATCTGTCTTTGTGCAGTGCCATTCCCGTTCCTACTCAGGCGGCCCCTCCACCTAGGATGGTCAACTTGTGCCAGACAACCCAAACAACCCTCATTGCCCCTAATCCAATGTTGCAAAGTGCTATCCTGATGCAACAGATGCAAGGTACAGCTTGTAGTCGTCTTTATAACGCAGTGCCCTGAGATAACAGTAGAGTTGGATTTTTTGGAGTTGGAAGTACTAATGTTGTCAGGTTGCTTTTTTTCCTATTTTAGTCTAAACCTATACACTACTAACAAAGCCCATCTGTCGGTCTGCTCTCATGCTGCTTTTTCATCCAGGTAACATGCGGGGCTTTGGGATGGGTGGGCAGCAGTTCCGGCAGTTCTTTACTGCAGGAGCCAGGTCATCACTACTCGGGCCAGTTCCCATGGGAATGGCCATTAAATCCCCCATCATGGGTTTCCCAGCTGCACGAGCCTTCCACCCGCACTCTCGCTTCTTCAACGCCGGAACAGCTTCATCCTCCTCCTCCATCTCTGCAACAGTAATAATTTATTTATATTTCTGTGTTTGTGAAACTCCTGTTGTGAATATGGAAGATGATCGTATTGCATTTGAATACATTTTTGAATTGAAAATATAAATTTTGACTAACGTTAACAATTTATGTACATTGCTGTTGCAACAGCTGCATTTAATGCAATAGAAGTATAATGATTTGTCTCTGTGTGCAGGATGCAGCAGCTCGCCAGCCAGACAGGAAGAGGGATAGTGAGCAGATGGCTGCAGGAAGCCCTGACAACCAACCGGCTGCAGCTAACAGCACAGATGAAATGGCTGACGAGACTCAGACAGGTACGTATCTGCTGTTACAGATGAAAAGATTAGCGTGGTGTCAATTTAAAGTGTTCTACATAGTGAAATATAACAAAGCACGCCCATTAATGGTAAAGTTCTATATGTCTTTGAATTTCTTGTTGACAGATGGTGCTGTGGAAGAAGGAAATAGCCAGATCCCTGAGGAGCAACTTGAAGAACCTGTAACAAAGCGGCAGAAGACAGACAGGTGTGCGCATATTTTTTTTTTTTTGTTTTCTTGTTAGCTAGAGTATATTTCAACTCTTTATTGACCGTGGTAAAAAATGAATACCAAATATAGAGGAGCTGTCACATCGTAATAATCCATATAGATAAATTCATCACTTTGACATGCTTGCTTTTTCATAGCATAAGTAGATTACTGTCATTTATGGTCAACATAAGTTTGCATAGTGATTATGAAGTCTCTAAATCATTTAATATGACATACAAATCCATCACAACAAAATTAGTGCATTAATAGAGCATAATACTGCTCTATTCAGATATTAAGAATATTGCATACACACACTATCTGATGATTTAGATGTAGTATACATTTTTTTTTCTTTTTTCCTTTTCTTCTTCTGTTTTTCTACTCTATTTACATTGCAGTGTCCATATAAACTGTTAAACTCCCTGCATAATTATAATAAAGCAATTTATATGCATGAAACAAGTGGAGCAATATGGCAATTGCCACACTGCTACACTTGTGAAAGTAAAATCTGTTGGGCTCTTTTTGGCATCAGGACAATTATTTTTATTGCCGCATTGCCAGACAGGACACTGTTAAAAAAAAAAAAAGATGTAATATACATGTATTGATGACATTGTTTTAGTAATTACATATTACAAAAAATTCCAAGATTTTATATCAAAACTGAATCACAAGTATATGTCTGTTAATGCTATAGTATTTTTATTTTTGCAAATTGGGCATACATGATGTCATATACTTTGATGCTGTGTCTGTGTGTTCCTTCCACTGACTGTGCAATTACCTGTAAAACGTCTTTCCTGAGCCAAATTTTTGCAGCCAAATGCTACACACGTAGGCATTTTTATGGCGCAACTCCATGAGAATGGGGAGTACCAAGATGGCTGCAGTTGACTGCAGTTTTTTCAGCCTATCAGCAATCTAGTGAAAAAGTAGAGATCAGTGGTTTAAATATTAAGGAACACAAACTGTGCTACAAATGAACACAGGAAAAGGTTAATCAGTGATGCTTCAGTCCAATACTGAGTAGTGATACAATAGAAACAGCTATTGCTGCCTCCGAAACAGGATATGTAAAAAGTTAGAAAATTATATTAGCTGGGGATGCAAACAATTACTCTACTCAACATTATGTTAATTAGTGTTTTATTATATATATATTATGACATATATATGTTTTATTATCTATAATAAACTTTGCTCCATTTGACGGATAAATTCCACTTTGAACAAACAGTCTTTAATTCCAGTTCCTGGCTTCTGGAGTCCTTCATCCTTCCGATGTGCCTTAGCACTTAATTTGCAATCAAGGACAACTTTAGTCTACGTGGAAGTGCTGTACGAATAGTACTGGCAGTAAGAAAGGAGTTAGGAAGACGAAGCATGATGCTTCCTCTCATAAGAATAGGAACCTCCTGAGGTTCCTTATCTGCTGCTAAGGACCTGTATGGATTCCCACAGTCCTTTGCATGAAAGGATATTGGACACAGCCCATCTCATGTTTAACAAAATTATGTGATTTCCTAACGTGTGTTCTTTGAGAGACATGCACCTTCATATGTTTGTGGTTTTGTAAGTGAGAGTTTCACCTGTTCCCTACATTTGTGTAACTTTGGTTTTTGTAGTCTTTTTGGAAGGCGTCAGTCCCAAATTGACCAATTTTTTATGTTAGCTTCTATTTGGATTGATTCAAGTTGAGCTTATTGTAAGGCTTTAATGTCTAAAACAATCATGTTTGTCTCAGGTCAGAGGAGCCTAAAGAGCAGACTGTGGTGGAGAGAACCGCTCAGTCAGAGAGCGCCAATGCAGGGGACATCCAGTCAGAAGGTACCCACCCACCAACCCATTCCAAGGATTTTTTTATAGAATCTTGAAACTTTCCTATTTGAATAACTATTTGTGTTTCTGTCTATTATAGGCGGCACCAGTCAAAATGATGAAGGACTCACTGGGCAGGCTGATGATCTGCCGATGGAGGAGACCAATGCTGATGATGTAAGAAAAACTAAACACAAGAGGAACACTATGAAGGAAAAAATCTTTTTTTATTTTAGCTAATTCAAATAGCAGTTGATACCAAACAGAGCTACAGTGGCTTCCTATGGAGTTCAGAACAGTATAGAATGTTGGTAGTTCTCGCCCCTGGGTTCCACTGAAAGCTTAAGCACGGCGGATTCTGCGAAGCACCCTATTCAAACGGGAGAGTATCAGAGCGAAGCGGTTGGACTCCTAACGTGAGGATTTGATCATCACACAGTAGTAGTATATACATGTGGGCTTTAAATAGAACAATCAAGTGATTATGTGGCCAGTGCAAGCGCTCGCTACACATGCATGCATGCTCTTTATCTGGTCACCTTACCTTTTAGCTCGTGCTTTTTTCCTCTCTGGTATTCTCTTTTTAAAACAGATTAGTTGTGCCATATAAAATAGTGTGTCCCCCCCCCCCACCTCCATAATAAACATTTCGTTGTCCATGGTGTCAAATGAAATGAGATTCTCCGGTGACTCCCTGCTGAAGCTGCACGTGATGTTGCTTTTTTTTTAGAGTAAAATTGGATCATATATGGACATGTAATGTTTAACTTTGAAATCCCACTGAATCTATTTTGCTTTTTAGCAACCGACTTACTGCCTGAATTTTCCACTCTACTCTAGATTGACAATAACTGAAAGCATTAAGAGTGAAAAATAGACCAGCCGTATTTTAGAGAAGTGTCCAGAGGACCACACCTCTGGGGCGCTTCTAGGACACTCTGAAACTTTTGTAAACAACTTTATGCGAAGAGGATGTGATCTATTAAAAAACAAACTTGCCGTGGAACAATGCCGTCTCCCACCTATGAGGATGTATATTTTGAAATAGAGGCAAAAATCATGAAACATGATGAGGAGAAAAACTGAACCAAAGTCCTTTCAGACATTTAATATAACACCATATTAAATGTTAATCATAGCTCGACATCATTGTAAGCTTCCAATATCATAGTCCAGTTTATACTTGCACTGGTGAGCTATGACTACTCAGGAGAACCTGTCAAATAAATAAAAAAGGAAATGAGTAACTTTGCAAGGACCATTTGTAACTGAATGAGGGCCAAACATGAGGTGGTGCCTAACACTTGTGGGTTAGGTAAGAAAATAGTTTATTTTTTTTTATTTTTTTATATGGTTTCATGAATGTGAAATATCTTTTGCATAATGCCATTTTTGGCTTTTGGGCATGCACTCTTAGTATAGAACACATCCAATCTTAGATTAATGAGACCCGAGGTATGGGTAGAGGTGAGTATTGGCATGAGTGTTGCAATTCGATACATGTCGCGATACTTGAGTCACGATACGATATTATCACGATATTGCAGTATCACTATATATTGCCATATTTTCCCCAGCTATCAAAATCAAATGATGAGATAAAACGGCAAGTGCTTTATATCTTCATCAGAAAATATTGATTAGGTATTATTTTCCATGTTGTTTGGGGTTTTCTTCCACTGTGACTGCCTCAAATACAGATTTGGTGCTGCACGCACAGTTAAAGGGCTCCACAGCGCTTTCTGCCACAGTGGTGGTGCAGAGGTAGCCCATTTTCCCATCAATGTTTTATGTAACCATTTTTTTTTTTTTTATCGATACTAAGAAGTGAAAGATCGATATTATATTGGGCAGCCGAATATCACAATATATTGCCAAAACGATTATTTACCACACCCCTAAGTATGGGTAAGATTTTTTTTTCTTGTGTCCTTTCTTCCTGGCTGTCTGATAGTACCTGGTTTCTATTGGGTCCTCTTTACACCTGCCTAAGAAAGTCTGAGTACTTCGTATTTATATTCTTCTAAATTGAAATGGACAGAGACTGTCCCTGATTTCTTGAGTGCGTAAAAGTAGGATTTTTACATGAAAAATGTTTGGAAATCACAGATCCAACAGAATATTTTTTTTCCTCAAATATATTTTAAAGAAATTTTATATTTACTAAACTAGCAAACAAATAATAATGAACAGAATCTACATACTGTTTTATGTTTTTTTTTATCAGAGCCTTGTCTAATATGGTCCTAATTTAAAAGAATACAGTAAACACGTCTTCAGTTGTTTTTTTCCAAACACATTCATGCTGACCAGGACTGAATTCTGCTAAATAAAACTTTTCTTCTACTGTTTTTTTCGATGAGGAAATCCTTCATCCACAATCTTATTAAGTTATTTAATTTTCCATTTCCATCTGAAGGCCTTCCAAGGATTGTCAGCGCAGTCGCCCTCTGGTGGACTGGGTGAAGATAAGGAGCAAATCAACGTACCAGCAGAGGAGACGACACAGGACAAAGACACCTCAGTACCTTTTCCTGAGAACCAGGATGAAGAAGAAGCATCCGAGGGCTCCAACAAATTCTACTGCTACCTCTGCAGCATCACTTGCCACAACCAGCAAGTAGGTGGAATAAACACAGATAAAACTGGATGCAGATTTTTGTCTAAGAGAACGCCTGCATAGCTGTTTTTAATTTAGGTATGCTTATGTTTTTTTTGTTTTGTTTTTTTGTCTGCAGAACTTCAGGAGTCACATGAACAGCATTTCCCACCAGCAAAGGATGATGGAAATCCAACACATGAGCAATGCCTGCTTGGTCACCCTGCTTCCACGTGTGCAAGAGTCTCTACAGGGTGCCAGCAAAGATGGGTCAGTTAAAAACTAAAAAAAAGGATTTCTTTTTAGTTTTCTGTAATGACATATTGTATTTATGTGATGCTTCTTGTTGGCAGGGAGAAGAAAGCAGACTTAAAACAGTGGTGTGCTACATGCCACACCCACTTTACCTGTAGCACCGTAGATCATCAGCGCTCCGAGGAACACAAGGTAATCTTTGCCAAGTGGATTAGTTGTATGGATGTAACAAACCTGTTGGTCTAAAAGTAATTTGCTGCTTCTCTCCATCTCCTCAGCTTGCTAGTAAAACCGACCTCTCCTTCTGCGCCGTCTGCCAGAAACGCTTCAAGACCTCCCTAAGCTTTTTGGAGCACCTTCACTCTCAGGAGCACAGGCAAAAGGTAGAACAGATAGCTTTTAGACAAGAGTGATCATTTCCCAGAAGTCAATGCCGCAGATCACAATGTGCTTGTCAATGTTAACCAGATCCAGGAAAAAGGCTGTGAGACTTTGTCTAAGCTGACCAACATAGGCACAGACGGCTTTTCAATTGACCTGGAAGCACACCAATTGCAAAAGAATGATGGAGAGCAAGAAACCACTAAGGTATGATGCATAGCATTCGTTGTAGGATTTAATTACCAGGAACTAAAGATTGACGTTTTTATTTCAGTTTATGATTATTAACCTTTCACTTTGACAGGATGGCTGGTCCTCTGCAAAAGAGGTGACCCTAGATGACCTGACCAGTGAACAGCAGTATGACCCTGACATCATCTATGGATCCAGTTTCCTAGATCCAGTGGCAGGTTTCATCTGCAGGCTTTGCAACAAGTTTTACCTCTTTGAATCATCGGCCCTGCACAGCCACTGCAAGTCACTGCAGCACTTTGAAAACCTTAAGGTAAGTTAGACTTCACCACCAAATAGAAGAAAGTCAGTAATTATCTAAAGCCAGTTTAGCTTTTTATTTGCTAAATTTACTAATTATAGAGGATAAGTAAACATCAAGTGTTGCTACAGGTTTTCAGTTGGATTTAGAGCTGGACGTTTTGCTGTTTTAATAAATAAATGTGTTTTAATCTTAAACTTTATATCGTTGATCAGGCTGCATGTTTAGCATTTTTATTTGCTTGGAAAATAAATCTCCTGTAGTTTCAGGGGTATTACCGCCTTAAAATACAGATTTCTTTCTTCAGGATTGCCCTGCATTTATAAATCCATCCTTTTAATTAAATCAACTTTTCTTGCCGTACTTGTTTAGAACCTTTCACAGACAAATTTGTCTGAATGTGCTAAACAAAATAATAATGAAATGCCTCTCAAACTCCATAAGAATATATTTTTTTAAAATAAAGCAGTGTAAATCAGAGATGAAGATGAGACTAGTAATAACGGACCTGACTGTTTAGTCCTGTTTAACTTTTAAAAACAAATCCTAAAAATAACAGATAACCAATGCACAGAGTTTTAAACAAGGGGTATGTCATCTTCTGCATGAAACCTTTTAAATATTCAGTCTGCATAATTTTAAATGTCATGGAGGCGTGAAATGGATGATTCATCAAACCAGTAAAAAGGGCATTGAATTATTTAAACAGTATGACGCTGCAGTTTAGAAATGTTACTTAAATGAAAGAAGAAGTTAACAAGACAGATTTTATGGCACTCAAAGCCTGGAGAAGAGCTGAATTTAAAAATATAGAAAAATATAAGATGTTTTATTAATTCTAGTTAAAGGGAGACTGTAAAAAGTAAATAACATTTGACCCGGAACAGACCTCTGTGGAACCCCACATGAGAGATGAAACTGATCTAGTAATAATCTCCTCAACTCCTTCTAAGGAAAGCATTTGGATCAGTAGTATCAATGTCTAAAACTGGGATCATAATGGAGCAATCATTTAAAGATCAATTCAACTTTAAAAAGATCTGAATTTTTATGAAAGCCAGACTGAAAATGATCAAAAACCTGGAAGCTGCATGGCTGAAATCTGAACTGACATTCTATGTCTTCTTCTAGTTATATTCGAGTACAAGGGAGTTTTAAGCTGGCATCTTAATTGCATTTCTGTAGCAGAGATATTGGTTTGTTTACTTGGGAGGAAACACAGCGTTGCCTTACTGAGCTGTTAATGATGGACCAATGCTGATGATGGTTCCAGGCAAGATGGAGGGAGGTCATATCTCTAAGGAGCTCATTTAGGATTTTTATTTTATTAATAAATGTAGCTGAGCCATTAAGTTTGGTAGTCGAAAGGGTTAAAAATGACTCCTGGCACTTATTTTTTTTAAATAAAGAAATTAATGATTGTTTTTTTGTTTCTCAGAGCTACAAAGTGATGGTTGCTGAAAAGGATGAAGCTGCTCATCCCTCGAGGAAATCCCCCCCATCAGCAGACAGCCTCAGACACGATTTAGAAATTTCAGACTGTTCACAACAAAACGTGCTCTCGACTGACACAGGAGAAGCCATTGACCTAAACTCTAATTCGGCCACCAAACCGGAAGCACAGGAAGAAAACGAGCTAATGGAGAAACAGGTAGAGGCCAGCTCTACCTCACAGGACCTCTCCATCTCAGCCGCAAGCTCTGAAAACCTCACCCAGGAGCTCAGCTCTGACCAAGAGGAGAGATGCAGCCCATCCCAGGTGTCTGGGCCTGAGGAGAGTTCAGTTGAGATCCCGGCTGTCAGCAGAGAGCAGGCGGGATCAGAGCCCGCTGCGGTTGGTTTGTATGCAGAGGAGGAGGAGGAACCTCCTGTTGGCCTTGGGAAAAAAAACTGTGGTGGAAAAGCAAAAAACACAGCGAAAAGACGGTCAGGAAGGGCAGCAAACAGACGCTGAGTCTGAATTTGATGTAGGAAAAAAATTATCTGAATTTCCACGGCTATGGGACTGTAGTCAGAAGCCTATGTCTTCAATTGGAAAGTGTAAGGAAGTCACACCAAACACAGGAAGACTGGTGACTGAGAGACTAGAACAGAACCTCTAATACAGATTTCCCTCCAGCTGGGAAAGTAACAGCTTCTAAATGGAGGTTAGACCATTTGAATTTGGCTATAAAAAATTAATTGAAATGTATTCATATGCCATACTCTGTCACAATTAGATTACAAACAATCCAAAATGAGATACAGGAAATATCTTAATGGTAATTAACCATTGGATAGAAATATAGTATATCCTAACAGTATGTGGGCATTCAGTATGGTCACATTACATCAAGGTTTGTATGTAGACTGAAGACTAAAACTGCAATGTGTTCAAAACAGCTTTTAAATTCTGCAATAGAGAAAAGGATTTGTCTTGCAGCTTGAACCTGGATTGGCTGTTATTTAGAAGTCAAAGTTTGACATGCATCAATTGCATTTACTACATGCTGCAACATTTAAACAAGAACTAGGTTGTTCATATTACAAAAGTAATAAACGCCACCAAGGTCAGATGTTGAGTTACCATAACCACCTAGATGATGTCAATAGAAGACGTCTGCCTGTTTTTGACTTTAATTTTCCACCCTGCTGTCCTCAGGTCAGGAGACCGATGAGTGTTTACTGTCACTCTGATTGTCAAAACCAACACTGAAGGTGAAGTGAAAACCTTTTTCACCTGAAGTGTTTTTAGTAAACTGGAACCTAGAATGTTATCTGCATAAACAAGTTGAAGAAGTGATAGTTTTAAAAGTGTTAGTTGCACTTTGGATCAAGAAGGATGAATCTGGTCCATAATTAAGCACATTTGCGTTCCTTTTTTTTTTTTTTTTTTGGTAACAAAAATTGGCACCAGTTGTAGCTTTTTAAATAAAAGATGTAGGAGTCGAGTATGTTTGTTTAGCTCAGACAAACTGCAAACTAAATTATGTCTGAATTTTGTTATATGGGCACCAGAATCTAGAAGGTCCTGAAAAGATAAACAGCAGCAGATAAAACATATCAATCTGAATTTATTATCCATATGGAATAAAAGTTTAGCATTTTCCTGGCACCAAAGAAGGATTTTTCTTTCTTTTTTTCAGATCATCAACAGGCTGGTCATTCCTGGTGTGCCTATATATATTAAGGCACCTAAGGATTTACAGATCAATATAGTTTGCAGTGTAGTTAACTCAAGTTTTTCCCCTGGTTTAATTTCCTTTACCTTCCATAAGAAGTACAAATCTGTTACTTTCATGAAAGGTGTTTGTGTAACAAAAGGCTACATTTGAACCACCTTTGCTATTTTAAAGTAGCAGTTAATATAGTATGGTGTACAAGTGTGTAACTGCAAATGTTGGAAAGAGGATATTTCAATTCCCTCTTATAACTACTGTTCTTTTTCTGGCAACATTTCATCTTCCTTACTAGTTTAGGATATTTAAAACCACAAAAAAATGGACATGTGTAGCAGCTTTTGTAGTCATGAGTGTGATTGTCACATGTTGGATCCTGTATTTCTGAAGGAATAAGGAAGTGTGCTGAACTTTACTCCTAAAGCTTGTTTAACCCGAATGGTTCAAGAAAAGAAATGGTAGTTTTGAATAAAGCTGTTTGTTTCCTATTGTATTTTTATTCAGCTACTGAGAAATTGAGAAACAACCAGGGGATGTTTTTTTTTTTTGTTTTTTTTTTAACTGCTGGAAGTTTATTGTATTTTTGGATGTTTCTTTTCCGTTTCAGAGTAATCTTAATTTATATTAAAATGTCTCACAAATCTCTCAATGTTGATTTATTTCTTTACAAATGACAGACTGGTTAATCATTATCACACATCTTAAAATAGGTAATGAACAATAATGCAGTGATAGTGCAGCAGAGATATATTGATAAACATCTAGACTTAACTTTTAGGACAAAATAAATACAAATACAGATTGCACTTATTTCTAACATGTAAATATCTGACCACAACTTTTTAAGAGCAGGATTTGTTAAGTTTGTCATGGAAACAAACCAGAATCAATACGCATTTAGACCAATATAGCAACAGAAGGTCCCAGTCGTTTGCATAGCCATCTCTCCCAGTGAGGTCGTATAGCTTCATTTAATCAAATGGACAATGAAGACAAAGATGATCACTCCAACTGACATCAGGAATTGAATCTTTTTTTCCTCTTCATTTCTGACTCTGCATCTATTCATCAGTTTTAATGATTTTCTTTGTCTTGATCTTGCTTGCTAGGCAAAGTAGACTCCTCTTCCACATCACGATGCTCCTCCTGGGTTTGAGAGTCAGCTAACTGAGCCCTAAAATCCCGGCGTGCTTCCCGATTTGACTCCAGCAGTTCGTGTAGTTTACCATTCAGCGCATCATTGCGCTCCTCCAGGTCATCCAGATAGGAGTTGATTTGGTCCAGCATGGAGTTGACTGCAGCGTACTCTGGATAAACAGCAGAGAGCAGAGCAGAACAGAGAAGCCAGAAATCTGAGATTAAAGTCAGAACTCTGAGCTTAAATCCAGAACTCTGGGCTTAAAGTCTGAATTCTGAGCTTTAAGTTAGAACTCTGAGATTAAAGTCTGAATTATGACTTTTCCCCATATAATACTGAAATAAAATTTAAAAAATTTGTTAACTTTTCCCCCCACTGGCCCTAATCCTCTTCCGTAAAGCTAGGTAGAGTTTCTTGCAAAAATTATAAAATAAAAAATCTTCTTTAACTATGACACAACTACATTTGATTCATTCTGTGAGGGGTTTAAGTAATAAAATACCAGATTTCTAAAGAAAAGAAAAGCATCCACTCCCTTGATGGCAGGTACGTGGTTGATTATGTAACCAACACCTGCTTTAAATGTCTCTATTGTTATCCCTGACGTGTGAACTGATCAATAATCATACCGTAAATAAATTGTGTCCAAAAGACAAAGAGCAGCTCAAGTTAATCTGAGACTCAAGTCCAACATAACGTTTGTTACTAAGGTTAGCCCGTCCAAGGAACTCATAAAGTTAGATTCAGGACGTGTGTTATCATTAAATGATGGGATACTATTCTAATAATTAGCATCTGTTACCCTCTTCGCCAAACTCGTCGTCGTCGTTGATGATCCCTTCTTCGCTGGAGATGTTTGGGTCTCCGTTTGGTCCAGACATGTCTCTAAATTCTCCCCGTTAGCCTTTAGCTGCTAATCTTATAAACGAACGTGCAGGAGCTATCATTAGAGAAGACGCCTAAATCCTCGATCTATGTCAGCTTCATTGAATTAGCATTCCGGTCGTTATTTTTTGTTTTGCTATTTTTATGTCAAAGTATATTTTTTGATTTTATAAAAGTGTTTCAAAATGACAAAGTTATATTTGTGTACGGAACCAGTGGATTGTGGGAAAATAATGGGCAGTGTGTTGGAACAAAGCAAGAGGTCTCACTCTGTAGGAGTTTTGTAGAAAAAGAGTTAATCAAATATATAGTCAATCACTCACTATAAAAATCTTGTTTAAACGCTAATTAGACTAATTTCTGTTTGTGAAAAATATGTTAACGCTTAGACGGATCATTCTGTCTTTTCACTAGCATTAATATTTTTGCAAAAGATGTGTGAAGATGGAGTGAACACTCATGCTTCTTCCACTCTCTGAAACTAGTCAGCTGACAAAAGCACATGATAGTCAGCTAATGTTAGTTTCCTAAATATTCTTCATAACTTGTAAATGTAACTATAGTTACATGTAAATATTTTTTTTTATTAATTATTTTAAATCATTAATAAATTCAGTTAGAGTTTCTGTAACCATTTGAAATATGCTAAAATATTTCCTTAAATTTGATTTTAAGTAATGTTACAGTCAAATATTTTTTTTTTAAATCACATTTTTAAATCACCCAGCACTAATGAACCCAACCAGTCTTTTTTCTCAGAACTTTGACTTTAATCTCAGAATTCTGGGAAGAAAAGATTAGGGCCACTGAAAAAAAAATTAACTGATTTTTATATGTTATTTCAGTTTAATATGGGAGGGGGGGTCTTTTTTCTAAGAATTCTGACTTTTTTTCTCAGAATTCTGAGATTAAAGTCGAATTCTGACTTTTTTCTCTGAATTCTGACTTTTTCCCCCTGAATTCTGACCTAACAAACATGTTATTATCAAGTCGTAGCCATGTCTGTTGTAGAGAGTAAACTAGCTCCCTTGCTTCTGCTCTTCCAGTAATAAAATAGCATCACCTGGGACCCCTCAGGCACGTAAAAAGTCGCCTAATTAGGTAATTTTCCACAAATGTGTGTTCTGGCCCTCCCAAACAACTCACATCTTTGTCAGTGAAACAGTGCTTCCACATCTCTTCCTTCATGGTACACATCCACATTAAATTCTGAGATTCTTCCATGTTTAACTGAAATATGTAAAATCGGTGCCATTTTGATATAATTGATATTATTTTTTTCAAGTGGCTCTAATTCTCTTCAGTGATTTTCACACGTAAAAAAAGAAAAACAACAGCAAAAAACAGATTTGAATGTGTTTACAGTGTAATCCTCCTTACCCTGACATCTATTTCAAGCAATAACTACAGCAACATTGGCCAAATTAATTCATGAAATATATGCCGAAGCTTCTTTTAGAAATATTTAGACATGAATAATAAATTATTTTAAAAAATACTATCTTAATAAGAAGTATGTGTATTTCCTCTAGTTTTAAATGGTCGATATATATTTCACAAAAAAAGAGAATACGTGGCTTCCCCAGCTCATAATTTAGTACAAATGTGTCCTTCCTAACTTTTACCAGTAGAGGGCGCTAAGAAAGACACACCGAGACAAACGTCAAACCACGTGTCAGCAACTTCCTGTTTGGGAACCACCACACGCTGCAATCTGTTAAGGAGTAATTCTCAGAGATGGATGCATTAACTGCGGAAATCAGAACGTTTCTAAGTGCTCATCCCTTTTTTCAGCTCACAGACGACAGAAAGGTTAATGAGAAATCCACAAAATATCACTTAAAACACACGTGCAACGTGACGTAGCGGTGTGCTAACTTGTTTTTAATGAAGCTCAGCTTGGTGATCGGTTCTAAACCTCAACATAAATGTGTTTGCAGATCAAATGCACCCTGAACGGACACGAGATTCCCTGCAAACTGACGGAGTTACAGGCTTTTATCCAGGGGAAGAAATATAAGAAACTAAACGCAGCTGCTCAGTTCAACTACAGCCAGTATGAGCCACACATTATACCAAGCACAAAGCAACCGTAAGAAGAAAAAACTCCTGGTTTTTACATTACCAAATTTGGACCTTTAATCTAACTTGGTGTAGAATGCGCTATAGTTGTTTAGTTTTTTTTTCTATTTGTCTTGATTTGTAGCAACCAGCTCTTCTGCAAACTAACCCTGAGGCACCTCAACCGGCAGCCAGAACATGTCCTTCAACACGTCAGTGGGAAACGGTTCAAGAAAGCCCTAACTCAGTGTAAGTTTAAAATTTATTTATGTGAAATTTTGTCTGTAATTGGAAATTTATGAAGGGGCTGTGCAATACTGCAGGCAAGATGGAAATACACTTTTTAGTAGTGATGCTGAGATGAAGCCTCATGAGGCATCGAACTGTTTGGCCAAATTGTTTCAACAATTCCCACAGTCTAGGCAGCTTCACGCGAACATGTCACCACCTACTGGTGGAGTGCATAACTACAATTAGTGACAAACTCTGATTTCTTTTGTTTTTTATCCATTTAGGTTCCCTTGAAATTGTGCATGAATGGTGTGTATAATAGTCATTTTTTTTGTGAGTAAAATGTCTTGGAAGAGAAAAATTCTTTAAGGTACACTGTTTTTCATCTTAGTGAAATAAGTTCAAGCGGATAGTGAACATGCTTGTGCAAATTGGGCAATGATGAGCAAAATGAAAGGTGTTCATTTTTATACTGAAAATCCTGCTGGAAGTTATTGTTAAACCTTTTAGGCTATGTTCACACTGCAGCCTGAAGTGACCTAAATCCAATTTTTTTTGCCCATATGCGACCTGGATCTGATCTTTTCATTGCTGTCTGAACAACACAGATCCGATTTTTTTGCGACCCAGGCCACTTGACTATGTGGTCCTGAATCTGATACCAATCTGATCGTTTCAAATCCATCCAACCTGAACACCATTAATACCAGACAAAGGTCACTATTCAGGATCTTCCAATGAAGAAGCGGCAAGAAAAATTACAACCATTGTGGACGATGAGAGCAGCAGTATTTATGTTAAACCATCTTGAGAAGATAGTGTTTTTATGGTAGGGAAAGATCTCTAGATGCGCTCCGGCACTACCGTCTATGTTTACTTCCGTAAACACAAAGCACACTGGCCTGTGACGTCATTGCGTCCTCTACTGCGCATTGGGGACACTTGAGTTGTATGACTGCAGTTCACACAGGAGATCACATACAAGTCGCATATATTTGGAAATGTGAACAGCAACGCAAAAAAAAATCTGATTTCACAAAAAACTCTGAATTGAGCATTAAGGCCTGCAGTGTGAACGTAGTCATTGTTAAACCAACCAATCTAATTTGGCAGTGTTTTTACCCACTCTACATTGGTAAAAGGCCAAACCAATACCATTGGTCACTTTGGCCAAAATACTGATGAATGAAAATCGCAACTTTCAAAAGCTTATACCAAGTCTCAAACCCACAACCTTCTGACTGGAGGTCAATGTCCTACAAAAGATGCCACTTAATGATACAACTGAAACCAGTGGCTTGTTCAGATTCTGATTATTGTATTGTTTGATCTAACCAAAATTGTTTTAACCAACGAAATTGTATGTAAAAACAACCAATCTATTCTTAGAATCTATCCAACAGACTGCAACTCTCCTACAAACTCCCACATCTTGATTGAATAAAGAACAAAGTTTGTGGGCGAGCTGAACCACTTCCCGAAGCTCCCACGTGGTATGGCGGTAGTTAGGCTTCGGACGTAATTGATTTTGGCCCCTCCTCTAAATGAAGCAAGCCTCAATACGCGCTTCGCAGAAATGCTCCTTCAACTACTCAACACACGCCTCAAAGCCTCGGCTCATCTCATAACATCACTACTTTTTAGTCATTATGGAAGGAACTTTTACTTTATCTGATGTCAGTTGATGGGAATGTATTTCAGCTAGAATCTGTCATCTGTGCTCATAAAAATCAAACACTGATTAAGATATTTGTGCTTATTTATTTTTATGCTTCTTAAAAACAAAATTAATTACTTTATTGCAAAAAATACAACAAAGTAACAAGACAGATTGTCCCAGGATTTACTGTTTTCATAAAAGTACTTCTAGCGGGGTTTGTGAAATGGTTGCTTTTCGTTTTCTTCAGATGCGGAGTGTGCGAAGCAGGGGATTGAGTTTGTTCCAGCCCGACTAAAACAGAAGAGGCCTAAAAATGTCGGAGATGATATGAGTGAGTCCTCAAAAAGACGGTCCAATAGCATGTGGGAACCGGCTTCCAGCGATGAAGGACACAGCGACTCGGAAGACAGCATGAGTGACCTCTATCCACGTCAGTATAAACTGTGCTAAACTTGATCCAAAGCAGATATTCAGCTTTGTTTACTAACTAGGGATTCGGGCTATGTTAGGAAATTCTGAACCTATATTAAGTAGAACAGCCTCATTTCTCTATTTCTCTATTTTTTTATGGGTAAAAATACCTTTAAGAACCAGTAAATAGAAAAAAATACAGATATGGGTGATCTATTTTTTTTTATGATTTTATATACAGTTAAAGTAGGTACAACATATGGATACAGATTTGCTCAACTGGTCTTTAAATGTTTGCTCTTGTTACCCCACAGCCTCCATGTTTTTCAAGAATTCTGAGGTTAAAGGTACTGCAGGTGAAGACGACGAGGAAGACGATGACTTTAAAACAGATGAAGACAAAGAAATGGAAGTGGACACACAGGTGGTGCAGAAGCGCAAAAAGGTTTGTAATATATACCTGGTCCTTTTGTAAGATCTGGGTTAAAACCCAACAGACATAAAACATTAAAGGGTTGATAAAGATGATCAGAAAATTGACAAAGTAAACAAATAATGCTAAAGATAATGAAAACTACTCTGTGTATTACTGGTTATTTTTGCTCATCAGACATTCATGTTCTCCTCTGTACATGTTGCAGGTCCAAAGTGGTGGCTTACAGAAGAAATCCAGAAATAACCGATGGAAACCAGGGCACAAGAAACATAAAAAAGCCCTAAATGGAAAGTAGCCTGTGAAAAGACTTCCGCAGTCTTTCTGAAGCTGGGCAACACTGACGCGCGGTTTAGAGTATGTGTTTAAGCTGAACTGGTTCTGTACATCCAACTATAAGGATGCAAGTGACTTTTAGGGAAATTTGTTTTGTCTCCAAAGTCATGATGTTTACACAACTGGTTTTTACAACAAACGATTTTCACAGAGCCAGTTGGAGTTATTTGTGATATCTATTCCGAAGCACTTGTAAATAAAAAAACAACAAACTGCTTTGTTTAGGTTGTGCAATACTGTTGAATCATTATTTTTCCTCCCAGAGGAGCTCTAAATCCATAAAACACATTCTGTGAATGTAAAACTCCCATATTACTAATTTCCATTAAGATATTTTCCAGATACTAACATTTCTAACAAATATTTCAATGTTTACTATTTCACAACTGGGTTTGATAAATGCTAAACAAAATAGATTATATCCTTAGCATATTGCAGGGATGCTGATTCCTTCTAGACATAAAGTATATATAAATGATTGTATAAACAAGTAGTTTTAACATCTTAAGAAACTTCTGCTTGCCTGATTTAAATCTTTTCATGATTTATATAAAGAGATCAAATCTAAAAATTTAGAAGAAACTTGAGTGTAATAAAATGCTGTAAACTTATAGCTGTTCAGTGTGTATAAAAAACTTAAAGGATCACATGAGTTAATGTAAAAAGTAGCCATAATCATTTTTTTTTATATTTATAATGGAGAGGTTCAAAGTCAACCCAAAACCTTCAAGATGTGGCTGCTAAAAAAAACCCTCCAAATTATCAACACTTTACCTTATAGTTGATACGAGTTGCTAATATGCTCTGGTTTCTGACAAGCTCTGGCTGAACAATATGGCCGAACATCTTTGATCTTTAACTGAGAAAGGTGGATTGTTTTGTTTAGGACGAAGGTCTTCAATAGGGGGTCCACGGAGGTACTGCATGGCGGTCGTGAAAGTTTTGGTTAATTACTTTTTTTAAAGTATTTCCCCCTGCAATTTTTGTTCAACTAATTGAAATGTCTTTAAATATACATTAAGATGAATGAACACACAGGAACTCTTTTAAGCTGGGCACTGTTTCATTCACAACACCTGTCCCATCAACCAGGAATAAGAATAAGAAATACTTTAATAATAAATAATTACTTTTGTTACATTACTTCATCTGTAATAGAGTGACTATAGGATCAGTTTGATATAACACAATTTCACACAAAATAAATAAATATATATATATATAATATATATAAATAAAATTAGGGGGTCTCTGCTCCATCTCACCATCAGTTTGGGGGTCTTTGGCCTGGAAAACTTTGAAGACCCCTGGTTTAGGATCATGTATTTGGTTCACACCCAAACTCTCTGCCACGTCTTAAAGCAAATCAATGTGTTGTCTTTAAAGGTTTATTCATTACTTTATTCTTCCACTTTTCCATTTAAAGTTGCATATAGCCACCTTCTTTCTTGCTTGGGGTGTCACTAACTTGTTTTCTGCTCAATCCTTCCATATATTATAATCCTTAACATTTCAATTTCTGCATGAAAACTTTTTTTTGGCTTTAATATTAAACGTTTTACAATAAGTCGTTTTATGAGCTGTTCTCATTCATTTTAAATGTAATTAGCATTTAAAGGTATGATTTTCACCTTTTGAATCAAATTAATTACATGAAGCAATCAACTTTTTTAACATCCCAATCTAATAATGGGTGTATTTTAATTGCATTCAATCCTGTGTATTTTTCTGCATATGTTATTTTGATCCGTGGTTGAATATTTGTTTGTTTACATGAAACCAAGCTGGATGAAGCCCCTGGCCGCTTCAGTATACGTGGCAGACAGCGGTTGCAGTAGCATGCAGGGGGCTCTTCGTCAAAGCGCGGCGCATTGTGGGGCGGAGGCGGCCTTTCCCTGCGTCCGTCCGCGGCTATCGACAAATCTGCAACTAAATAACGGAGGGGAGGACACGCAGGCTGCCAAAAGGACTCCAGAACACCTTTCATTGTGTCATACGGTTGTTTTTAATAAAACACAACTGTAATATTGGAGGAAAATGGGGCAAGAAGATCTTATGAACAAAGCCGAAGACGTGGCAGACCAGGTAACTTCATTACTAGCAAGCTAGCTGCGGTTAGCATGTTAGCCGCTAACTAGTTTTCATGTGAGGAGTGAGGCTCCTGTGCGTTTCCTTTAACCTTTTCACGTCTTTAAACTTTCTTTCTTGAACATTTTCTTAACTTTAAACATGGCATTGGATTAAGTGAAGAGTCGTGCTTGTGTTATAATCGGAATAATGAAACTTTAGGAATAACGGCTGTCATGTGTATTTTTTTTTATATAGCATTACGGAGACATTCGTCTAAAGTGACATATGTTGATTCATTTGACATTTAATCGACCGTTTACTGCATTTAGCTGCTTTAAAGTTACTTTTTTAGTGTTGTTGGGTTCTTCAAGAGTGTCACCGTTAGCCAACAGATACCATGTCATTAGTAATAAAACCGCTTAGATTAGTGGTTTCACAACACCTTATTTTATTCCCAGTACAGGAAATGTTTCAATCATTTATACATGAGATATATATATATATATATATATATATATATATATATATATATATATATATATATATATATATATATCTAACATCTGTTATGTAGCATCTGTTAGCCTCCACATAAACTGTCTCTGTGTCCTTAATAGAAGCTATAGTCGATTTAAATGCCTGGAGTTATAGTGTTTCTTAAAGAAAAAGGGTAAAATCGGATTGTATTAATGTGCGTTGTCTTTTGTTTTTAACGTTACGCAAAAGGAAGTATTTAGATTTGACTTTAGTTTGTACTGTGGGTTCAAGCAGGAAGATTTTAGAGACAAACGTCTTTGCAAATTTGCAGCAGATTCGCATCGCGTGCCAGTCAGTATTTCCTCCTTGGTTCAGTTGCTTCTGGTTGTGTTAATATGCCACTGTCACAAGTGTTATAGAATATAGGAGGAGAAAAACATTAAGGGACAGTGAGGTTTTATAGAAAAAGAAAGTTTGTGTCATTGATTTTAAGCGTACATTCCTCTCAGACATAACATTCAGAGTTGTCTATTTCTAGGCTGTTGCAACAACCTTTGGCTTATTCGGATTGGCTCCAGCCTGGTCCATTCATGTCTCTGACAGCAGTGCCAGTGGATTTGGTGGATGATGATAGGCTGCTGAGATCTGACTGTGCTGATGTGGACTGATAGATGGGCGGATTAGGGGTGGGACTGCTTCTTATGAGCAGAAACTCAATATTTATATTAATTTGACTACACCTTACACCTTAGGAGGGAAACACTGGGTGTTTGCATTGTGTTAGGGTTTTATTTGATAGCTTTGCTTCTGTCCTGGTTTATCTTTTGTGTTTCTTTCATCCCAAATGTCTGAGGTGATCATGTGCTCTGGTCAATTAAAATAAACTAGTTAGCTTTAATAATTTGCTCTTTGTAATTCTATTTTGCTAACACACCAGGGGAAAGAAGGCCATTATATATTACTTATAATAAAAAGCTAAGAGGGTAAGTCAGCATGATCTGTTTTTTTAAATGGATATAGACCGGAATCGGGTAGAAGACCTGGTTTTTGTACAAGATATTCATATTTTTATGTTACAGTGCTAAGCTTATCCAGAGCAGCTTTTGCCAGTACTGTATTGTGATGCTGTGACCTACTATAGTGGTTTCGCCCTTGTTTTTATTGTCTCCACATTCATTATTGCCCCCTGGAGCAACATGGTTGCCTTCTTCTTTAGCCTGCAAACCTAACTCAGACTATTTTTAACTCGTTTTTTTTTTTTTTTTGCCTCCTTTGAAAGTTAAAATAAAATACTAAAATAATAATTTGGATTTTGATGTTTAATTTATGAAAAATAACTACAAATACATGTCAAGTACATAGATAACGTGTTGGAGGAGGAACCAATAGCCAAAATATCCTAAAACTTTTCCTTCATTCAGAATATTTATGTCGCTTAGTTATTGTTTTGCAGCATGGCCAGAACAGAATCAATGACAAACTGTAAATGTTTCAGATTTCTACTAAACAGTCACGCTTTTTTGCTAAACTACTTTACATTCTCCCCCACGTTCATGCTTTCTGTATTTGTGCTCTTCAGTTTCTGCGGGTGACCAAACAGTACCTGCCTCATCTGGCACGTCTGTGTCTCATCAGTACCTTCCTCGAAGACGGGATCCGCATGTGGTTCCAGTGGAATGAGCAGAGAGACTACATCGAGGCCACGTGGAACTGTGGCTATTTCTTGGCCACCTGCTTTGTGCTGCTTAACCTCCTCGGACAGCTTGGTGAGTGACAGGAGACCGGGTACGATGGGATAAAATCATAAGCTGTTCTGTCAAGGATGTAATGTTAATACGAAAGCAAAAAGGCAAGTTGAATAATATTACAGAGATACAGAAGGTGAGGTCCAAATCAGATAGGAAGCTTAGGAGTTTCATATGTTGAAGCAATGCAGTTATGCTTTAAAGGTGGTGGATCCTGAGTTTGATAAATATAGAGATGATGCACTGTCAGATGTTTTGTTTGCAAACTGCACATTATAGTGAGAAAAATTCAAATACCTTTTGTTATATTCAGGATACCTGTCTACAGGATTTGATATTTTATTTGTTGCATTTTCAAAAGCAGAATTTCTCTGTTACACAATTAAATAAAAAGAGAAATCAAGGAAGACAATCAGGATAAGTACAAAAAACTGTTACAGAAGAGTATTAAAAGCATTGGATATATGTGTGTGTAGTCTAAGTTTGGACACACTTAAACCAGCTGAGGACAATGGACCTTTGCTACCTGATATTTTGTCTACCAAATGAATTGCTAAATTTGCTTAGTGGATTGGGTTGCATCAAAACCTCCCGTGTCTGTCTTCTCAATGAAACTGAATCCACGTTGAACTGTGCTGAAATTTGGCTGAAAACTGTTATTTACCAAAGTGGCTGTTAGAGAGATGGTGATTGAAGATGGCATCGCCGTTATTGACACTGTTATTCCTCTTAGTGCTAAAATAATACAATATCCCATCATGGGAGCAGCTCTAACATTTCTTTTGTTCTGACAGGTGGCTGTGTCCTTATTCTCAGTAGAAATTTTGTACAGTATGCCTGCTTTGGATTATTTGGCATCATAGCATTACAGGTGAGAACCCTTTTTTTTATTTTAGCTGTTTGAAAATCAAAAGCTCAAACCATGGTTTTGT